CTCTCTCTCCCTCCTCTCTCTCCCTCTCCCTCTCCCTCTCTCGCTCTCTCCCTCTCTCTCTCGCTCTCTCGAGTAGGCCATAATCACATGCGTGTAAAGTGTGAGGGGCTGCGGTTCCCACCCTGCTTTGACCTGGAATTGATTGTCCAAGAAATGTCCGCTGACACTCCATGAACAGAGGCGACAAGGTTGTAGTTGGCACTCACCGCTAGATGAAATGATCGACCATGCGACTCATCCACTTCAAGTTGGTTGGCTCATGCGATGAGACTCAGCAATGAATGTGTGTGTGCGATGTTTCTATGAGATCTTGAAGAACTCGTGGCCGTTTGTCATGGGTTTGGTCAGTGGCTAAAACATGATTGGAGCCACCTCGAGCTAGCTAGCTTATCGCTTTAGGGCTCTCCGCCATGGACACTGGCAGCTGTCTTTGATGCGTCATAGACAGCTTCATACGGTGAGCAGCTGTCGTCCACGTATGAGCATCCTTTTTGGAAAAGGTTGAACATTGATTGTTTAACCTCGTTTTAAACAGTTGACATGCTGAACTTGGTTGAGCATGAGCTGTTGAACATGGGTGGGCATGGTGGAACATGGGTGGACTTGCGTGAAGATGTTTGCACTCCCCGACGGTCTTTACACAAAGTACAGTTTATGTTACAACATCCTTGAACCAACACGGTGTGTAAACCTTCACATGGCACGGACAGAATTCCTTGTTGGCCACTGTTTATTACTTTGTGTTTCTCACTCAGCAATGGTACGACTTCGCCTGCAGGAACTCTAGCTTTGATGATGCATGCTGTTGTGCGCAGATGAAAGCCAACACCTCCTGAACTCCATGATGCGGAATTTCAGACTTCAATTGCATCAGCGCCAGATGCATTATCATCAGGTCGCTGCAAAGCTCACATCGCAACGCAACCAAGGCTTCAAGACACAGAAAACAAAATTACAATAGTTCTAGTTCTTCTCATCTATTAGTCCTAGACAGTCCAATCCAACTTCCGGCTGCACCGCCCTATCGTCCTCTCGTCTTCAACTTCCGACCGGATGAAGCAGTAGATGAAGCGAGGCTTGACCGTTTCGCAGTCTTCCAAGCCTCGCACTGCCCGGCGTGTCAAAGATGTCAGATGAACATAATATGATGAAGAGAACAATGAGATGAGATCAATTCAGCAGTGTCCTTCTGTTTCAAGGTAGCAATGGATGTACAGAACACTTTGAATGAAGTCAGCCCAAATTCAAGCCAGTTGTTCCCAGACAAACGTTCCGGTTTGCAAGAACATCCAGCTTTCCAGCGCGAGAACATCCCTGAACGCAAGTGTCAGCCCAAGTTCAAGTTTCAAGTCAATGGCACCAAGGACACTTGCGTGACAGGGAAGGCCAGCTCTAAGGCTTTCGGCTTCTCCTGGAGAAGCCTTGAAAGTCAACATGTTTGTGCGAGGCCAGCGCCATGTGCACCATGTGTAGCGCTGCCGGGACGGGCGTCGCGTGAAGGCGTGAAGGCACAACTGTCCCTTCGACGCAAACTCTTGGCTCAGTATTGACACAGGCCTCACAGATGCCTCTATGAGGCTCAGATACGTGTACATGTATGTCACCATCTATCTCACGGCGGGCGCCGAGACGTTGCTGGTGTGAGACAGACGGACGCTCCGTCAAAAACGGCAGACGATGAGGTAGGGGGCGAGGTGGTGACTGAAAGGATTGGCCACGTCGTTAGAGCAAACGTGTCGTTGGCCATCGGAAACTGCTCTGCTGAGTTGCCGACAGCCCGCTGAGTTACCGTCGGTCCTCGGTTCGGCGCGTTTTTTAAGGCGCAAGAGACCTGAACGCTGCCGAAGAGCTGTTGAAGACGATACGCGCGGGGACCCAATCACTATATGCGCGTATGTATATACTGACACCACGTACCTAGGTGCACACGAGACATAAGCGTGTAGCTGGCAAGTAAGTATACATAGTTTTGTTTCACATCTTGTTGTAACTGACATCATCTTTCCCCACAGGCGAATGTATAATGAGGTTACAATTCAAAGATGAAGGATCACAGGGTTTTATAGACATTTAAATTTTAAGACATTTACACTTGAACATCAACGATGTTGATGGGCGTCATTTGTTCATGCATACGATTCAACGCCTGCGCTGATCTTGCATTCTGACGTTCTTCTTCGCCAAACCAAAGCCCCGCCTGCAAATGGCGGGTAAAAACCTCCCCCACCAAACCTATAGTGGTTGACATCCCAATACCTCTGTTCATGTTCGTTGGTCACCCAGACCGACACAGCCCAATACCCTCTCCCCGCCCCACCAACCGAGCACTACCGAGCCGCCGAACCGCAGTTCACGGCGGAAGAGCGTGCGTAGGCGAAGCGGATCTCCGACACCCGCGCAAGAGCGCCCTAGCGGCTCGGTGACACCGACGAGAGTGCCGAGCGCGTGGGACGGTGCCGGTGTTTGGGGTGGTCCTTGGAGGCACGTTGTAGTATTTGTGCGTAAATTGAACTGGAGGGGGTGGATGTGACATATCCAATTTTGAGTGCTGGAATGTGATGTTTGACCGTTTCTTAGCTGGGAGCAGACGAAGCAAAGACAGGAGTGACATGTTCCTCTGATGATGTTTTGATTGAGCTTGGATTGGGGGGAAGGACTTGAAGAAAGGGGTCTTGGATCAAGCATCGCAAAGAGAAGCGGTCATAACCCTTAAGGATCGATCCCAAGCGAGGGCAGCTGCAGGTGCAAGTGGTGTTTGTGGTGTTTGCAGGTTTACCTCACTGGAGTTTCAGCGACATGATACCATGCAAGATCATCTATCAAGTGAATTGTTTAACTTCCAATGTCACACTGTACGCATCATCCATGCTGTTGTTTCGAGGATTGTTTCAAAGACTCAATGTTTTTTGTTTTTTTAGGGTTTTCATGGTAGCACAGGTCAAGCGAACCCTTGATTCCAATATAGAATAATATTATATCACCCTCGCTTTCGATGCCCGTGTCTTGTGAATTGGTCAATTTGTAAGAGACTGTGATATCCGGCTGTCAAAACAAGACACACCTAAATGAAAAGGTCTTGATGTTTTTGTTGAAGGAACGCGCCACAGTACCATCACCTGTTTAATTTTTCCAAAACGCACCGGATCCAATGATCTCCGGACGATCCTACCACTGGTTCCACTCTTCCTCCGAAGCATCCACCACCGACGATCCCAGGCGTGTGCGCATTCCCGGCCCAAAGAAGGCTCTGCGGGACCGGCGTGGAGGGGACCCCGCGCCGTTCAGCCGAACCGAACGAGAGTTTTCTGGAACCGAACCCCCCCCCGAATGAACTGGGTGTGAAGTTGCATCGGCCATGTTCCTGCAAGAGAACCTGACCCCGATACTTCTTCGATGCAGAGGTTGATGCCCTTTCTTCACCATATTAATATCTCACCAATCCACATTCCTCATTTGGTCCGATGACCAATTCAATTTGTCCTCCTTGAATGCTTGGTCGACTTGATGAAGAGATGGGCGTCGACTCTCAGCACGACCGAATGGATCTCCGACGGATGATAGGGCGTCTGGGAGAGCATGCTGGTATGGCGTCCTGGGCGTCCACTGTTACATGGCATAGGCCTTTACTTAACAAGTTACTCGTACCCCACACAGCTGCTACAGCAAAAGCACCTACCCCAGGATCCTGGATCCGAATTGTCCTCCAGTCACTGAGTCACTCATGGAAAGACTGAAAGACTGGGTCCCCCAAGTTCCTATTTGCGATCGCAGGATGGAAAAGTATCCCAAGCTCTGTGGAATGAGACCACAACTTGACCGACACTTCCCTCTATACCTGTCATGCAGAGCTAAGCACTAAGTGTCATGCCATGTCCATGTGTAACTCACCGCAACATGACCGTCCTTTGCTTCGCCTCCTGGCGCGCAGCGCGCACAAAGCAACCACCAAGGCAAATGCTTACGCTTCGCACCGGAGGCGGGGCGGCGAAGCGCTAGACGGTCATGGTGACGATCAAATGGCAGCGGTCAAATGCGACGATCATGTTGAAACCATGCGAATCTGGAAAAGTCCAACACAAAACCTCGGGGGTCACGTCGATCAACCTTTGATCGATCGAACACGTAATTTAGACTGACGAATTGGACGGTATAGACGGCATGTCCACGACGAGGGCAAAGCGCTGGACGCTTTTCTCCATGCTTTAGAAACATCATGATGGTCTCAAAGAATTCAAAGATAGTCAATGAACTTGGATGCACCCTCAAGCTGAATGCATCGGTGCAGTCCGTGCATGAAGCTAGATGTATCTTTCCTTCCTCACATGGTTCTATGGGTGTGTGGACATGGTTCTTTGATGTTCTTTGTACTGTTTCCCTTTCCCACCTCTCTCAGGGAGCCAGGACGCCTGGGTGGTAAGTCTTATTTGAGCTACCTGGGACCCAACGGCCCAGTACCTGGAGTACGAACTGAGGGTCAGGAAGCTTCGGGTGCTCGATCGAGCACCCTTCGAGGTGACCAGTGCCGGGGGCGGGGGGGAGGTTCATTATGTGCGGGGGACAGGCGTCCCTACAACAACGGGTGTAGCCCAGCTTCACCATGGTTCACCTACAGAAACAGCCAGTCGGCAAAAGAGCAAATCGATGCAAATCACGATGTTTTGAGATGGATGGATGGATGGATGGATGGATGGAAAGGCCTGCAACTGAAGCATCCACTGGGCCCTGGTGAGCCGACTCGCCGACCCACGGAGGTTCGGATCGACCTGTGGACCGCCCACTCTCGGCCGATGACCATCCGATGCCAGGTAGAGACGGTCTTTTTCAGCGCATGACGGTCAATGACGTGCTGGTCTCAGTGGACGGAAGACTCCGTGAGAAGATGGTCATATATGACTATATATGAATGAGCTATTTTGGACCACCCACCACCGAAATACCTGTGTTGTTTTTTCCTATCAAAATAGAGGTAACATGGGTTCCAGGTATGTATATAGATACCTAGGAGGGAAATGAATGCTAGCAGGCATCCATTTGCAGTATCCTCCATTGCAAGGTATTTGCAAGATCCTGCGACCCAGATGTATCAACATGTTGCAGTTGACTTGTTGTTGATGTTGTTGTTCTGGTTCTTACTCTTGTTACAAATGAAGCGAGGCACCCCGTTTTTCCAGGCATATGTGGAAAGGACCACCCACTTCGGGACACGTGACAAGCAACCAGTAGAAGCTAGGTGCAACATATATGGTGCAACTGTCCCCTGGTGGCAATTGTTGTTTTGTCCTGTCATTGTTGCAATTTGTTGCAATTGGAGGCTTACCAAGTATCTCAAGGCTGATGTGTCAGTCCACTTCTTCTCGTCTCTGTTGGCAGGACATCGTCTCCACACCCCAGAGGGTGAATCAATGTGGCATTCTTGTTCCAAAACTCTGGGCTGTTGAAGACTGTCCTTTTTCGCTGCCGTCTGGGCTTCGTCTCGCACCGGGCTTCGTCTGGATTTTGGACTAGATCAGGGGGGGGGAAGGAGCGAAGCCTAGGAAGCCACCGGCGGTGCAAACAACCGGTTCATATCAAGTAAACTACCCCCAAGCAAACTAACATGGAACCTGAGAATTGACCGGTGGAATGTTCCTCTACAACCCAGTGGTTTTGGGGTTCCATGTGGTCCTCTGCAAGGGAGTATTTAAAAACAACTATTTAAACCAGAACCACTCCAGACCCAGAAAACTTTGAGCTCCTGTTTCCTTTGTAATTTTGTTTTTCAGCTGGTTGCATGTCGGCGAGTGACAACAACAGATCAGATGCAGGAAATGGTCGTTCTGGGAAGCTTTGTTTTAACAAACATGACTCAAAGTCGCCAAAATCGCTACCAACGCAGGATCTCTCCTGCAAAAACACCATGGCCCCCGTTCCTGAAGAAATGGCCGATCTCTCCTGTTCCCCAAAAGCACTGCTTCCAGCCCTTGAGGTTCAGCTCGAGGCATCTGACAAATCGAGTGCCGCGAGAACTCGTTGAGAACAGTTTCCCAAAGAGGTACGGCAACCGTCAGGGGTTCTGTCTTCGATTCAAGATCAGAGGTTGTAACTTGGGGTTCTTGTTGCACTTCCTAAGCCATTGGTCAAGCCAGTCACCTACTTGCAACGCATAAGTAAGGGTTTCTGTGATGTGTTTTGCTGTTCCGCCCCAAGTTTGGAAGGATCTCGAGGCCAAAATGGTGTGTCCAAGTCATCCGCCTGCATAGCTAGGCGTTTTTCCCCACCGCTGCTTCCAAAGTTCAGAACAGCCCGTCGATTTGGATGCTTCGTGATCCGGAACTTGGAGGTTTTTGGTATGAAATATATCCCAGACACTCCATGTCTGTCATATATGCCGCCCCAGACAGACCCCTCTGGCACCACCCCAACTGATCGGCATATATGGTAGTATGGGTCGTGTTTGGGTATTGTTGATTACAAATCCAACTATATACCGTGTACGAGGATGATTCGACCTGTACATGGAGAACAAAACTGTTCGCACCTCAGAACTCGGTCGTATAATCAATTGCCAGTTTACCAGGACCTTCAGGACGTGACCTGTTTGGAGTCTGTATACATGACCTCTTTAGGGACGATTCGTGACCTCATTCTAGGATCTCAAGTTCGGTCACGTACTGAAGGTCCTGGTATACGATGTTTTTCCAGGTCATGTCCCATGTTCCACTTTGGAGGGTCCAGTGAGTCCAAGATGCTTGGAGGGTCTAGTGCCATGAAAGGACTGTTACGTCGTCGTCGTCGTTTCTCCAGATCACTTCCAGCCTATTGAAAAGATTGAGCTTCGACCATCTAAAGGCTTCGTACAGTTTGCATAAACCATCATAAACCCTATGTCAGTCTTGGACCCTATGCGTTGTATATATCCCCCTTTTGCAGTACACATCCCATCTTCAGCTAACCGGCTTCTCTTGAAGAGACTGATATGTCATCCTTTCGGGAAACCGAGTGGCTAACTTGCAGAGGCTGCTCAAAGAGTCTCCACTGGTTCCGCGGTCAAACATCTGTCGTCGGTCCGTCACGGCACTGATCGGATGACCGACAATGACGATGTCAAGCAGCTAAATATCAAGTTTCTAAGATGGGTTTTGTACTAGAAAACTCAACTTGAATCAGACAGTCACTGTGGTTGTGTCTTCCCACTTTGCTCAGGACCTGCTAGCATGGGATTTGGGTGCATGACTTTCAAGGCGATAGCCACATAAACATCTTCCAGCCGTCTAAGTAGCTTCCTTGTCCTGGAACCAATGGAAGTTGCGATTTCGACGTGCTCGTCCCGCTGGGTGGTGTGCATGTAATTCAGACTCGCCTGCGTGATGACACCGGAGGAGGCCTCGGGACCCGAAAAATGGAGTCAATTTCTTCATTGCAAAGATCACACCGGAGTCTGATCATCTTCCTGCAACAGCTCTCGACAGGACCCATCGACACGACCACTTGGACTGGGACTGTGGGACCTGGCAGTTCAGGATATTTCAGGTGTCCATGGGGCGGCAGGTCTTTGGGGTTTTGGTTCTAGTTTGTTCTCTCGCATGGGGTGAACTCCCTCTTCGGACAATATCTTAACACATACCCCATTGGGGAATATCTAAATTTAGAAAGAATAGGTTCTTCGAGCAACTCCAAGGTGTCCATACTCGATACAGGAATTCCAGAAACATGTGTAATCCAGCCATATATAAATACATAATTGATTTTATGGATGGCATGCGAGGTTTTTCTCCGAAACCCGTCACTGCCTCCCAGCTAGACAGGTTGGAAAAGCACCTGTTTGAAAAGGAAACTGTTTTCACAAAGGCTGTGTCTCTTTCTGTGTTATTGAGTCAGAGTATAATCAATGAGCTTTCTCTCGCGTGCTCGTCCCGGTTGTCCTGACTATTGTTTCCTCTTTGAAGAGTAATTGGTGGTGTACATGTATACACTAAGTTCCTTCAACGTCAAGGCTATATATTGAATTTCAGCTGCGTCGTCTGCGCTTTGCGACTTGGCCCGTCGTAAAGGCACCTGACCCAGTGTGCTAAACTGAGTCTGGAATGGTCAAGTTCGCCAAACAACCCTCAAAGGCCCATTCCCCGACGTGGGTCACTGAGTCAGGGATGGCAACGTTTCCTAAAGAGGTGCAATTCCGAAAGGCAGCATTCCCAATGTAAGTCACAGAGTTCGGGATGGTCAAGCTTTCCAAAGAGCTGCAACCACGAAAGGCACAAGCCCCAACGTAGGTCACTGAGTCCGGGATGGTCAAGTTCACTAAAGTGCTGCAACCATCAAAGGCCAAACGCCCAATCTGGGTCACAGAGTCTGGGATGGTCAAGTTTGCTAAAGAGCTGCAACCGTAAAAGGCATGATTCCTAATGTGGGTCACAGGATTCTCAGCGAGCACGTACTGAAGACTGACCTGCAGTATATATAGTGGACCTGCTGTCTAGCAGGCGAACACAGTTGATAACTGATTGTGTTTGACATGGAGACACTGGTTTGTCCCATGAAGAATTGAAGTTGTTTGATGCCGGCCACTAGACTAGTCCGAGTCCCTTTGGTCAGGGGCCATTCTGTTTCCCATCATGAACAGAACCAAGGGGCCCCCAAGGGGTGCTTGAGATTTCATGCGACTCGTCGAAAGGACACATTGCTGCTTCTTTTTGATCCCATGGTAGTGACCCCTTTTAACAGAATTGGATCTGGATGAATATATCGCTTTTTGATTTGGCCACTTGATACTGATGATATTGCGCTTTTGAGGCTCCCTCGGTGTTCATGTGAACACGCAGCTTAGATTTCCAGCTTGAGCCGAATTGCGATGTAACGATCGCCGTACAGATCGTGAACGCGACTGTTCACGTCGACCTGCCCTGCCGTCCGTGTTAATGACACATGTGACACATGTGCTTTAAGTGGTTTGGCAGGAGGTAGATGCGGATGTGGGGGAACAAAACACACATGCAAAAGAGACATCAACCATCCTTTTTGCGTTAGGTCAAACACTGCCAGGAAGTCCGTTCTATTCAGGATAAGAGATGATAAGAACTATACAGCTGCGAGGAGCCCATGATTTGCAGAGAGGCGAAGAGTGAACGTGAACGTGAGTGATCTACTTCATTTGATCCAGGTATATAGTCCTTGTTTCTTTCTTTGTCCACAGGTACAGAAGCCCTCCAAAGAGAACGAAGCAATGTGGAAGAACAACCAGTAAAATCATTTATATAACGACATTTAAAGACAAAGCAATGTGGAAAAACAACCTCAGGATTTATGGCTTTCATCGCTTGAACCGTCAAACCCAGCGATCTGGGGACTGGGCCGATCGGACGCTGGACTGGGCAGGTCGCTGTGGGGCTCATTCCATTCCAGCTCTGACAGGGCTTATACAGAGGATGTGGAGAGGATTTGTACATACCCGTTGCAAGAGCACTGGCTCTAGACTAGCTTCAGCACTCGCTTGCTTTGATTGGTTCAGCTCCGCGTCGGTCGACCGGCACGAAGAGGTTTGGGCGATCTTCTATAGGGGAACCTGTCCCAAACAGGCGTTCACATGAGACAGGTCCCTCGGATTTCTTCTTGGCCCCGAGGGGTCGGGTTTGGGGATGGTCTGGAGAAGCGTCGGGCGGTCGACGAGCGAGCGGGCTTTGGAGCCGCTCGGAGCGTCGAAACGGTTGGGATCTCATGTGTTGGTGGGTGTAGAGAAATTTGGCTCTGGGGTGTCTGCCTGTATACAGTGACATGCAGGTAAGATAGATCCACTATGTCCCATGGCAAGGCTTACATGGTTTGTGGCTGTGGTAATTGGATTTGGGCTAACAGGGTGCCAAACAGACCCTACTGTCATTGTGGCACACCATGGATCCCCAGGCACCTTAGCCCAGGCACCAAGAGCACACCAAGGGAGAACCAGACACACCAGCATCCAGGATGAGGACTGGCAATACCAACAGTGGATCAGAGCAAACCATGCCCAACTGGAAGCAGACTGGTCAGACACCTCCTGGCAAGCACCCTCCTCCAGAAGCTCCAGAAGAACCACCAGCACACACACAGAATCAGACCCAGAGGCACTGGCCAAAGGGAATCAGCAGTCACAGGACTGGTCCAGAAGCATTGGGGCACCTTCTCACCAGAGGTCCAAGAGGCCTTCAAGGAGATGGGATTGCAACAAATGGCAGAAGAACCAGACCTCACAGATCCCACCTATGTGGCCTACAAGTTCAAGACCACCAGTGGCCAGCTCAGAGCACTGGGCCAGAAGAAGCTCCAACTGGAGCAGAGGGAGACCAATTTGCAGAAGCAATTGGCACAAGTGGTGGCAGCAAAGGAACAGCTCCTGGACAGGCTACAGACATGCCACCAGGACATGGAAGAAATCTCCCAGCACTATGCACAGATTGTCCTGCAACCCAAAGGACAAGGCACCAGCATGGACACACAGGAGCCACCAGAAATCCCCTCAGGCAATCCAGAGATCCAGCACCAAATGGAGACCTTCCATGCATTGGTCTCTCAGCTGGGCAGCAAAGTCACCACAGATGACAAGCAAAGGCTGCTACACACAATGGTCAGGGTCCTGGAAGATGCAGGTCAAAAGAAGAGAAAGACCAACATCCAGCCACCTCAGTACTATGAGCCAGGCAACCCAGATGCATACATGGAGCAAGGCACTTTCACAGGGTAGCAGCAGCAGCTGCCCACCCCTAGCAGATTTGCCAGCACACACAGCTCAGGCAAAGGAGCTGCATATTGACTTTGCCAACATCACCATATGAAGTGAGAAAGCACAACAGCACATATGGGCGCTGCCAGCAGCAGTGGCATAGCAGAGCACCATATAGCAGCACCACAATGGCAGCAATACAAGGGTGGTTGGGCAAACCATCACTGGCAGCCATACATACAGGAAGCACAACCACTAGACAGTGGAGGCACCTCAGGTGGAGTCTCCTTGGCCTACAGGACAGGGCACAGCATCAGAGGCACTTTCTGGGTTTTGACCACAGATGGACAGCCACAATCTACAGAACACAGCGCATGGAGGTCATAGTGGGAGTGCTATACCTCAAAGTGGGGGAAGGGCAGCCAGGCACACATCCAGGTGCTGGAGGACAGGGTTCCCCTCACGCAATGCCTTGGACCCAGATTGCCCTGGTCACACTTCCAGTACAGCCAGGACATTGACCACACCAAAATGCCACCCACTCCTAGCAGGAGCACAAGCAGGGAGCTCACCCAAACCTTTGGGCAACTCCAAGCACAGGCCACACACTGGCTAGCATCCACCAGCCTGGTGCACAATACACCACCCAGAGGCATCAGCTTTGAACTGCACATGGCACCACAGCAGCCAAGAGCCATCAAGGAGATGACAGTGCAAGACAAGCAGCTACAATACTGGCTCGGTTTGCGCAGAATGGTCAGAGACTGTAACAGACTCCTCAAAGGACCACTCCACAGCAAACAGACTCAGCATGCAGGACTGCTGCAAAAAAAACATCAGCAACAAGACACAACACCTACAGCCACAATGGCCACCTGACAGCCAAGGCTTCATTGGCTAGGGGTACAAAGAGGGCTAAACCAGATGCTCAGCAACAGACCTTTCCTCAATGACAAGCTAGAGGAATTCCTTCAGACCACCTGCCACCGGCTACAAAAGCAGGTTTGGGAAAGGAAGAAGGAAGACTTTGCCACATGGGCAGAGACTGCCATGAGAAAGGGGGCAAGGCAAGCACATGCCTTTATCAAGCAGGATGATGCAAACTACCTCAGACCCTATCAAAACCAACCTCTAGCACAAAGACCAGCAGCCAGAAGAGCCTACTGGAAAACCTACTGGCAGGAAGAAGCTCCAGACGGACCAGCCACCCCAGAAGAGGAAGCTCTTAAACAAGAAGCCATCCAGGAAGCCAGAACATTAAAGCCCATCAGCTCAGCACAAATCAAGGCCACCCTGCAGCACATGGGTAAGAAGAAACCAGGCCCAGATGGATGGACAGTACAAGAGCTTCAACAATGGCCAGAGCAAGCAATCTCAAGCCTTGTCTGGGTGTACCACCAGATAGAAGCCACAGGAGACTGGCCAGCACAAGCCACATACGCCCAGATAGCACTATTGCCAAAGTCCCTGGACAATGAAAGGCCTATTTGCCTCACCAGCTTCTTCTACAAACTCTGGGCCACCACGAGACTGCACCTGCTCAAGAAGTGGATCCACCAAGTCAAAGACAGCTGCCCATGGGACAAAGCCATGCCCCAAGGCACAGTCGCTGACATCTCCTTCCAAAGGCAACTCTCAGCAGAGTTCAGCAGAGGACTACAGCTTCAGCAAGGCTCCATCCTCATTGACCTCAAGCACTTATATGACACAGTGGACAGACAAAGATTAATCACAGCAGGCAAGCAGCTGCATTTCCCACCAGTCATCATGCACCATGCCATGGTCATACATGCAGCCCCCAGATGGCTTTGCGCAGAAGGTCAAGCAGACCAACCATTCCACAACAAGTTTTCCATCATAGCAGGATGCCCTTTCTCAGTGGCCCTAGCCAAAGTCTACCTGTGGCGGCAAACCTGCAACCAGATCTACCAGATCCACCCCAGCCTGGAATGGCAGGCCCCAGACATGCACCAATGGACAGCACCAGACATACCCAATGGGCAGTAGATTTCACTGACCCTGACCTGCCCTGGGAATTGACTGAACCCACTCAGCAAAAAGACACAGACAGCACTTAGAGAAGTCAGATTCCACTGAGATCCCCATACTGGACATGGTGGTCCAGGGTGCTCTTTTCAATCATGCCTGGTATGGCCTGGACAGACCCTGCCCTCTATGCCAGCACCCAGAAGACACCCTCTACCACAGGCTACGGCAATGCCCAGATATGTTGAAGCACCATCCCATTCCCAGAGTTTGGGAATCCCACGTAGCAGACAACAGCTACTGGCGCAGAGGTATTCCTCCAAAGTCAATATATGAAGTTCCAGGAGGAGGCTTAGAACAAGTAACAGGCACAGGGTTATGGGAACCACTCCAACCCATTCCCACCACAAACCTGGTCTTTGGCACTGATGGGTCAGGAGGACCAGCTTCCAAAGACAAAAGACTCAGACAATGCAGCTTTGCAGTAGTTGCCTTAGACAAGAACACCTTGCAAGAAGTGGCCACACTCAGAGGCAGCGTCCAAGGCACCCAGACAGTGCCCCGAGCAGAAGCCACAGCACTCCTTTACCTTCTCAAGTACACCACTGGACCAGTGGAAAGCAGCATTGATGCACAGGCAATCCTCAAAAGATGGAGAAAGCTTCCACAACCACAGGCCACAAGTAACATGGACCTTTGCAGGCCACTGAGCACACACAAGCACCATAGGGGTCAGCAAACAGTGCTCCACTGGGTTAACAGTCACCAAACCCTGGAACACTTTCAAGCAAACAACCCAGATCTACCTCCCTGGATCTGGTGGACAAACCACAAGGCAGATGCAGCAGCAGAGCAATATGCAACCCACCTTGCAGAAGAGCTCAACCTGGCCAACAAGGTTTGGGCAGCAAAATGGGTAGATGGCAGACAATACAAAATCCAACAGAGGCTAGTGCAAGTGGTCAAGTTCTGGCTTGAGCAAAAGGAGGAAATCCCAGGACTAGCCAAACCACTAAAGCCTCACAGCAATCCCAAGCTTCCCACCAGGAAGGAGTTGATAGAACACCTCCACACCACCCACACACAGCATTTGTGGGGCACCATTGACCAGAAGCTACATGGCCCAGAACGCAGCTGCAACAGATGCCACATCAGAGTCCTTTCATACTGGACCAACACCAAGGCCAACAGAGTGGCACAAGCACCCTGCCACACACATGGCAATGACTACCCCACAGTCCATCCGAGCCATGACCTGGGGTGGACAGGCGCAAGGCACAGATGCAAACACTGCAGAAAGCAAGCTACCACAGGGCAGCTGATCCTAAAGGAATCCTGGTTGAAACCCTGCCCAAGGCAGAAGGGAAAGAACTCCTTTTGAGCCTAGAAGAATACCTTCTGAGCTAAGTCAGCTTTGTGTTGCAGAAGAAAAAAGTATTGGTGGGTGTTTTGGGCGTCCGCCGCTCTTGGTCGAGGAGTCTGCGGGGCCCTGCGGGGCCCTGCGTGGTTTGGGGTCGAAGACTCCTTCAGCGAGGGAGGCTGAGAATGCTCTTGGTCGTGGGATGGTGCTAGGAAGAAATAGGTTTTAGCTTTTGGGGAAGGTATTATACTAGGTATAGTATTGGGTATAGTATAGTTGAAGAATGTGGAGGATTGAGCAGGCGCGCTGATAACCCCGTCTTAAATTCAGTTGTTGTAGAAAGTATTTGCGTGATTCCATGGCTGACAGGTCACGAATCTGGTCACTCTAAGTGTCCCACAAGCCAAGCCCATGACCAAAGAGGTTTGTTGATGGCTCCAGTGCTGATTGGTTCACGTCGCCGTCGCCAGTGCTCTTGCGGCCCGAGCTCGATCAGGCTCTCCATCAGCACTTCGCATGTCGATCGATCCCCCAGAGACCTAGAAGAAGCCACCAATCGACCTGGTCTTGGAGTCCAAAAAAAGGGGAATCCTACATGATCCTACTACCTATTTAAGCTAGGCACTGGGGAAGACGTGGAGGGGTACCTCTTGTGATGGGGTCAAGGACCAACTGGCATTGGAGTACATAATATGGAACCACTGCCCCCTGCCCCGCTTCAACCAGACCTGCTGTGATGCAGTTGCTCAAGAGCCTCAAAAATTGGTTTCTGGGGATCAAAACACCCGGTCCGAGCCCAACGAGAGCACTTGATGAGTCCCGGCAAATCGCCTTCTTTTTGTTTCAACACCAGCACGTCGCCCCATCTGACGTAGTCGCAGTTCGTTTGGACTGATGCTTGACTCGATGGAAACCTGATGTTTGCTACATTTGAAGGGTGAGATTTTGTGTCGACCTTGGCTTACCGTGCCTGTGCACGTTCGCGGATGGTCCGATGTGGAGAAAGTGAGAGCGGATGGTCTCACGGTCTCACGGCGTCGGAGAAAGCACATGGACCAGATGTCGGAGAAACCACTTGGAGGGACCGGATGTCCACGCGGGAGTTATGCTGCAACGAAGGTGTTTCAGTGGATTCCCCCGCGCTGGGAGAGAGTTGGTTGGAGGGATCCAATCGGAGTTCGGTTGTTGTATGTTGTGATTGAGTATAGCTTTCCTGTGTCCTATCATTTATCATGTCCTATCAACTATTTCCCTTGAAATCAGCGGGAGTTTTGGAGTGGTAGCTTCACTTGCAGGTTTAGGGCGGTGAAACATGAATCTTGCAAACTTGATGAGGTAGCAGGTAGCAAACACCACCCATGCGTGACCTTTTTTTTGAAGTGTACATGCAGACCACTATGCAGACCTTTTGCCAAGATGTTGGTCCTGCACTGTTGCAGAACGCCACTCAGATCTATCCGTGCTGCCAAGGTTGCGAAATTGTAATGAATTCGTTCGAAGCTTTGCTGCGGCAGCACCGGCCGTCTCACATCCAGTGACGGAGGAACGCCACGTTTCCGAGCACGAAGCGCGAAGCTGACATAGATCGGGAGAGTCAGGATCGAGGTCTAGAGTCTAGAGCAACGAAAAACACCATGTGGGTTGAAAGTGACGGTGAACCCCTCAGCCCAGTGGG